ACGATTGTACTACAAATCTTGCACAAAGCACGTCCCATCTACTTGGACTTACAAAAAGCTGCACAAACTACTTCCCATACTACTGGCTACTGTCAAACTTGCACAAGCACTTCCCATTCCTACTGTTGTACTAAAAGCTCGCACAAACAACTTTCAGGACGAATTTACTACAAAGCTTGCACAAACTACTTCCCAGTACTACTGTGTACTACAAAGCTTGCAGAAGCACGTTCCCAGTACTACTGTGTACTACAAAGCTGGCACAAACTACTTCCAAGTACTACTGTGTACTACAAAGCTCGCACAAACACGTTCCCAGTACTACTGTGTACTACAAAGCTCGCACAAACTACTTCCCAGTACCACTTTGCACGAAGCACTTCCCAGTACCACTTGGTACTACAAAGCTTGCACAAAGCACTTCCCAGTACTACTGTGTACTACAAAACTTGCACAAAGCACTTCCCAGTACTACTGTGTACTACAAGGCTTGCAAAGTCGTTCCCAGTACTACTGTGTACTACAAAGCTTGCAACAACTACTTCCCAGCACTACTTTGTACTACAAAGCTTGCACAAAGTCGTTCGCAGTACTACTTTGTACTACAAAGCTTGCACAAAGTCGTTCCCAGTACTACTGTGTACTACAAAGCTTGCACAAAGCACTTCCCAGCACTACTGTGTACTACAAAGCTTGCACAAAGCACTTCCCAGTACTACTTTGTACTACAAAGCTTGCACAAACTACTTCCCAGTACTACTGTGTACTACAAAGCTCGCACAAACTACTTCCCAGTACTACTGTGTACTGCAAAACTTGCACAAAGCACTTCCCAGTACTACTGTGTACTACAAAGCTCGCACAAACACGTTTTAGTACTACTGTGTACTACAAAACTTGCACAAACACGTTCCATTACTACTGTGTACTACAAAGCTCGCACAAACACGTTCCAGCACTACTGTGTACTACAAAGCTCGCACAAACTACTTCCCAGTACTACTGTGTACTACAAAGCTTGCACGAAGCACTTCCCAGTACCACTTTGTACTACAAAGCTTGCACAAACCACTTCCCAGTACTACTGAGTACTAGAAAACTTGCACAAAGCACTTCCCAGTACTACTTTGTACTACAAGGCTTGCACAAAGCACTTCCCAGTACTACTTTGTACTACAACGCTTGCAACAACTACTTCCCAGTACTACTTTGTACTACAAAACTCGCACAAACACGTTCCCAGTACTACTTTGTACTACAAAGCTTGCACAAAGTCGTTACCAGTACGACTGTGTACTACAAAGCTCGCACAAACTACTTCCAAGTAATACTGTGTACTACAAAGCTCCCACAAAAACGTTCCCAGTACTACTGTGTACTACAAAGCTTGCACAAAGTCGTTCGCAGTACTACTGTGTACTACAAAGCTCGCACAAACTACTTCCCAGTACTACTGTATACTACAAAACTTGCACATAGCACTTCCCAGTACTACTGTGTACTGCAAAGCTCGCACAAACACGTTCCAGTACTAATGTGTACTACAAAGCTCGCACAAACTACTTCCCAGTACTACTGTGTACTACAAAGCTTGCAGAAGCACGTGCCCAAAACGTTCCCAGTACTACTGTGTACTACAAAGCTTGCACAAAGTCGCTCGCAGTACTACTGTGTACTACAAAGCTCGCACAAACTACTTCCCAGTACTACTGTGTACTACAAAGCTTGCACAAAGCCGTTCCCAGCACTACTGTGTACTACAAAGCTTGCACAAAGCACTTCCCAGTACTATTGTGTACTACACATGCACAAACACGTTCCAGTACTACTGTGTACTGCAAAGCTCGCACAAACTACTTCCCAGTACTACTGTGTACTACAAAGCTCGCACAAAGCACTTCCCAGTACTACTTTGTACTACAAAGCTTGCACAAAGCACTTCCCAGTACTACTGTGTACTACAAAGCTTGCACAGAGCACTTCCCAGTACTACTGTGTACTACAAAGCTTGCACAAAGTCGTTCCCAGTACTACTGTGTACTACAAAGCTTGCACAAAGTTGTTCGCAGTACTACTGTGTACTACAAAGCTCGCACAAACTACTTCCCAGTACTACTGTGTACTACAAAGCTTGCACAAAGCCGTTCCCAGTACTACTGTGTACTACAAAGCTTGCACAAAGCACTTCCCAGTACTATTGTGTACTACAAAACTCGCACAAACACGTTCCCAGTACTACTTTGTACTACAAAGCTTGCACAAAGTCGTTACCAGTACTACTGTGTATTACAAAGCTCGCACAAACTACTTCCAAGTACTACTGTGTACTACAAAGCTCGCACAAAAACGTTCCCAGTACTACTGTGTACTACAAAGCTTGCACAAAGTCGTTCGCAGTACTACTGTGTCCTACAAAGCTCGCACAAACTACTTCCCAGTACTACTGTGTACTACAAAGCTTGCACAAAGCCGTTCCCAGTACTACTGTGTACTACAAAGCTTGCACAGCACTTCCCAGTACTACTGTGTACTACACATGCACAAACACGTTCCAGTACTACTGTGTACTACAAAGCTCGCACAAACTACTTCCCCTATAGACACTGCGACATCCACGTAGCAAAGCACGAGGTGTTGCAGCTTCCCCTATAGACAGTGCGACGTCCACGTAGCAAAAAGCACGAGAATTTTGCAGCTTCCCCTAAAGACACTGCGACATCGACGCAGCAAAAAATACGAGGTGCTGCAGCTTCCCCTATAGACACTGCGACCGTCCACGCAGCAAAAAACACGATGTTTTGCAGCTACCCCTATAGACACTGCGACATCGACGCAGCAAAAGACACGAGGTGTTGCAGCTTCCCCTATAGACACTGCGACATCTACGGAGCAAAAAACATGAGGTTTTGCAGCTTCCCCTATAGACACGGCGACATCGACGCAGCAAAAGACACGAGGTTTTGCAGCTTCCCCTGTAGACACGGCGACATCCACGTAGCAAAAGACACGAGATTTTGCAGCTTCCCCTATAGACACGGCGACATCCACGTAGCAAAAGACACGAGGTTTTGCAGCTTCCCGTATAGACACTGCGACATCGACGCAACAAAAGACACGATGTTTTGCAGCTTCCCCTATAGACACTGCGACATCTACGTAGCAAAACACACGAGGTTTTGCAGCTTCCCCTATAGACACTGCGACATCTACGTCGCAAAAGACGCGACGTTTTGCAGCTTCCCCTATAGACACTGCGACATCGACGCAGCAAAAGACACGAGGTTTTGCAGCTTCCCCTAGAGACACTGCGACATCTACGCAGCAAAAACGCGAGGTTTTGCAGCTTCCCCTATAGACACTGCGACATCCACGTAGCAAAAGACACGAGGTTTTGCAGCTTCCCCTATAGACACGGCGACATCGACGCAGCAAAAGACGCGAGGTGTTGCAACTTCCCCTATAGACACTGCGACATCCACGCAGCAAAAAACACGAGGTTTTGCAGCTTCCCCTATAGACACTGCGACATCTACGTAGCAAAACACACGAGGTTTTGCAGCTTCCCCTATAGACACTGCGACATCTACGTAGCAAAAGACACGAGGTGTTGCAGCTTCCCCTATAGACACTGCGACATCCACGTAGCAAAAGACACGATGTTTTGCAGCTTCCCCTATAGACACTGCGACATCTACGTAGCAAAAAACACGAGGTTTTGCAGCTTCCCCTATAGACACTGCGACATCTACGTAGCAAAAGAGAGGAGGTGTTGCAGCTTCCCCTATAGACACTGCGACATCGACGCAGCAAAAGACACGAGGTTTTGCAGCTTCCCCTATAGACACTGCGACATCGACGCAGCAAAAGACACGAGGTTTTGCAGCTTCCCCTATAGACACTGCGACATCGACGCAGCAAAAGACACGAGGTGTTGCAACTTCCCCTAGAGACACTGCGACATCTACGCAGCAAAAAACGCGAGGTTTTGCAGCTTCCCCTATAGACACTGCGACATCCACGTAGCAAAAGACCCGAGGTTTTGCAGCTTCCCCTATAGACACTGCGACATCGACGCAGCAAAAGACACGAGGTGTTGCAACTTCCCCTAGAGACACTGCGACATCTACGCAGCAAAAAACGCGAGGTTTTGCAGCTTCCCCTATAGACACTGCGACATCTACGTAGCAAAAGACCCGAGGTTTTGCAGCTTCCCCTATAGACACTGCGACATCGACGCAGCAAAAGACACGAGGTTTTGCAGCTTCCCCTATAGACACTGCGACATCTACGTAGCAAAAAACACGAGGTTTTGCAGCTTCCCCTATAGACACTGCGACATCGACGCAGCAAAAGACACGAGGTTTTGCAGCTTAGCAAAAAACGCGAGGTTTTGCAGCTTCCCCTATAGACACTGCGACATCTACGTAACAAAAGACCCGAGGTTTTGCAGCTTCCCCTATAGACACTGCGACATCGACGCAGCAAAAGACACGAGGTTTTGCAGCTTCCCCTATAGACACTGCGACATCTACGTAGCAAAAAACACGAGGTTTTGCAGCTTCCCCTATAGACACTGCGACATCGACGCAGCAAAAAACACGAGGTTTTGCAGCTTCCCCTATAGACACCGAATTAACGACGCGAAAAACGACGCGAAAACGACGCGAAAAACGACGCGAAAAACGACGCGCCGACCAACTGGCGGCGAACAAAGGTCCAACCCCCAGACCCCCAACTATAAACGGGAACCCTTCGCTACGCATTCGGGAAAAAACAAACATCCTCAAACTGATGTGTGCACCAGAGATGCTCCAAAAACAAATAGAACATAGTCCCAAATAATCAAGATTCAACCATCTTTTGTGGATGAATATCGGAAAATGAACCAATAATCACAAACTCATCATTCTCCCTTATCAGTTTTTCTTGCTGAATCCCCCCTTGTTCTCGTCATTTTTGCTCTCTAAATCATGCGAAATCCCTCTCGTTCTCCAAGAGTCCGGTCAAGGATTCCTCTAAATCCAGGGCCTCTTGGATATCCTTCAGGTCCACTCAGCCATGTCGCTATGATTGAAGCAACAAACATGCTGGAATGATATGGGAAGAAATGGAACAAATTAGTGGAATGTTAGTGGAATATTGCTTTCATACATTTTAATAGCCTCTGCTGTCAACGTGGCTAGCGGCTAGCTGGAAAATCCCCCAACGAAGTGCAGGTTTAGTTCGCAACAAAAATCATCCAACTCAATGGTGGACTTGCCAGCCACATTGAACACCGCTTTCGGGCAAGCCCTCTTTCCGGCTTTCCGGCTTCCCGCACGGCCATCAAATGGGGGGGAATGATCTTCTTTCAAGAAATCCATTAAATGATTAAATCCCATTGAATCACCATTTGGTGTTTGCTATATTCACCCAAGGGTCTTTAGAAACGAAGACGGAAAATTTGAGAAAGTCAGAAGCCGACCCTGGTCGCTACATCGACAAGATCTTGACCGGTGCTGAGCTGATCGGGTCCCCATATCCCCCCCCAAAAAAAAAAAAATTAGTGGTGAAATCCAACTTTGTAAGTTATATCCCCATATTTCCCCATGTTTGAGGGTTTTATAATATATATATATATGTATGTGTATATATATATATATATATGTTACTTTATATATATATATATACATATGTATATATATATATATATATGTATACATGTGATTATATAATTATATATATATATATTACATTATATATATATTATCATATATATATATATTATATATTATCATATATACATATATTATATATTATCATATATACATATATTGAATGTGCTCATCATGTTCCCATTGACATCTCATTGGAGCATGGCACGAACTTCACCCAGCCTGGTCCTCGGGATAAGATTCTTCAATGTCTTTAGTTGACGGGCATCCAGACATCTCCTTAGATTTTCGAAACATGATGGTAGAAATCCAGCAACAAAAATTGAGCGGCTTGAAACTTTGTGAAACTTTGTGAAATAGAATTTGAACTATACGAGTACTTTGACAATGATTGAACTATAGTTACCCTCTGGTCAACTAACATAACTATGGAAAATCACCATTTTTAATGGAAAAATCCACTATAAATGGCCATTTTCAATAGCTATGTTAAATTACCAGAGGGTAAACCCTATATGTTTGAGGCGCTCTTTTTCAAAACAGAGTTGACCGGAATTTCGGTGACCCGAAAAACTTGGGATTGAGAAAAGGCTCAAAACAGAGAACAATTTGGCACTCCACGAAAAAACCCAAAATATCCAGTAAAACCCATGATTTTTTGCTGTAAAATCATGATTCATGTCCATAAATGTCATATATTTTTCACCAGTAAAAATCCACCAAGTCATGTTTCTCCCGGTTTCTCCCATCTTTTTTGAGACATTCGTTTTTCTTAACGTCACCGGAGTTTCCATGCAGAGATTGGACGAGTTCCTCGCCAGCTGCTCCTTTTCATCGGTCACCAGCACCACCGGCGCCTCAGGCCACGGCTCCCTGCCGTAGAGCCAAACGCTGATGACCATGGCGGAAAACACGGGTTTACCGGGTTTAGTTTACCCAAAAATTTTCGGAATTTCAGAGAGATTTGATTCACCATGACTGGTTGATGTACCATAAAACTCTAGGGGTGGATTTCAGCTTCGTTTCTGTCAGATGCGGCAGCGTTCATGGCATCATTGGGTCGGTTGAAGGGAACGTTTACACACAAACCTAGCCTTTTTCACCAAAAGAATTGGACTTTCGGACGTACCCAAGCCTAAACTGACAGCTCGATGTGGAAAATCAACCATTTGTAGATGATTTTGCTGGAAAAACCATGGCTTTTCCACATCTACATCTATGTACACGTTTACCGGCCCGTTCAGGGTAAATGTTCATTTCCCCCCTGCCCACTGGCTCCAGTTCGACGAAGCTTGAACCAGAAGATTTTTGCGGCATCTGTCAGCGACAACGGTACGTGGTGACATGTTTTGCACTGGGATAGGATAGGAATATGTTTGCAATATGTTAGGATGGGTCAAAACCAATAGTACCCCTGTAGTTCACATCAAAATAGCTGGGTTAAAATGGATGTTCATCCCCCTAAAAATGGTATTTTCATAGGTATTGACCCATACCCATATCTTAGGATGTCGTTGAAAATGCTGGGAGATTGTCTAATTTCAAGATGTGATCCGATAGCAAGTTCGGGGGCTGAAAATGATATCCATGTCATATTTGGATAGTTCTGCACATCCACATTCTAGTCAGAATCGACCTTCCTTCCTTTTACATCATTGTTTCATTGGTTGTGGTAGCAACCACCATTCCTTTCTATTCCTTTCCCACCAATCTTAGACCCAATCCTTGGCTCAACCACTGATGATCAATCGGAGCCGTCCTTTCAAAGACATAGGCAGCGCCATTCTCCTCCGACTCAAGAGCTCCGACGATCACCTCAGACCAAGGGCACGTCACTAGTACCCCATAGGGCCAATGGTAAGGCTTTGATATTTTTGCCCCTTTGATAAGGGGTGATACAGGGGTTGATGATGAATGAATTCATTAACTTCTGGTTTTGATTGTACCACCATCAATCCTGGTTCATGTGTTGGGGCCCCTATTGCTGTTCAAAGATGCTAATAACGCTAAAATCTTAAGGCCTCATGTTCCTCATATATTGGTTGGGACCTTGGGCATGGTATCCTGAAAATTGACCATGATATTTAACATGTGGTATCAACTTGGGGAATAGATTTTGAACCATTTTTGAGTATCCTGCAAAAACGCGTTCAGGTGGTTGATAAGTTTTCCCATCAAAATGGTAAAAACATATTCAATACTACCATCCAATGTTTCCACAAATCTGGCAAATCTTAAAAAATGAAGACCTCCCAAAACCATCAAAATTGGTCATTTTAGGATTTGGACTCCCATTGTTTCGGGGTCCCCAATTTAGAGAAACACCAAGCCTCAACCAGATTTTTCCAAATCTCCTGATTTCTGTTGTCATAATTCCTTTCCTGGTTCACATCAGATTAACATAGATTAACCAGGTCAAGTATGATGTTAAGACTGTTAAGTCCACTGAAATCACGACTTTTTGATTGCCAAATCCCCATCTTCTTGGCAAAATCGCAATTTTCATGATTAAATCACGTGAATTCCATTAACGTCCCAAATGTTCATTCTTTGAATATGCTTCAAATCATGAAAATTCCCCATTTTTCCCAGTTAAATCACATAGTTTTACCATGGTTTCCCATGTGTTTCCGTGAAAATCATGAAAATCCCCAACTTTTCCCATGGTTTCCCATGGTTTTCCCAAGGTTTCCCCAGCTCCCCGTTCCAAGCGCGGCCCGCGCAACGGTGCTGCCGTCGATGCCCACGGCGCCGCCGAAGCGGTCGAAGGCCTCAGCGTCCTTGGCCACGAGCTGAGCCTGGCCGGAATATGAAAATGGAAATTACTTAGTTGGTTTATAAGTGGTTGAATTCAATGGTTTATGGTAGATATAACGAACTAGATAATGGGGGTTTTGTTATGGTTTATAAACCAACTATTCTAATTTAATATTACTAATTATATTACAATTAATGAAATGGATAATTAACATCTCATTACTAGCAATATAATGGATTATTACTATTACTACAATGTGAGGCCCCCGTTCGATATCTAAGTTGGTGAACATTACTCCAATAACTATGGTTTATGGCACTTATAACGTTCAGTTGGTGCAAATAAGTGGTTGAACTAACTATGGTTTATGGTAAATATAACGAACTAGTTTTCATGGGGGTTTTGTTATGGTTTATAAACCAACTTAGAACTGGGGGGCCCCATCCTGTACAGTAATTACTGTTACTATTAATAGTGGGACAATTATAATGGATAAGATTAACATTAATAATCCATTATATTACTAACATAGACCCTGGCAGATAGGAGATGGAAAATTAGTTTCCATTAAAAATTTGTTATTTTCAGGGTCTATGTTAATTTACCAGAGGGTAATCATGGGATATTATAGATATAATACTTCAATGAACAAGATTGTCAATAACAATCATCCTAGTTGATATTAAAATTACAAATATGGGATATTGAAATTACTAATGATAATGGGATATTGGGCAATCATAATAATACTAGTTATATTGGGTGATTATATTAAAAAATGATATATATATATATACATATATCATTATTAATAAATGATAGTACTATCACAATCATGGGTATAATAATACTAATAATATTGGGCAATCATAATAATATTGGGTATCATGGGTTATGATATCCCATTATGATATCAGATTATAATATTGCCATAATTCATATTGATATTAATAACATTTATGATATTATGAGATATTATTATCATCATATCATGACATATCATACATATCATGAGATATATTGGGTAATCATAATAAAAATAGTTAAATTTTCCCTGTGATAATATCATCATAACAATCATCCTAGTTGATATGAATAGCCCAGTATCAGTATTGCTATCAATATTCTGAGATATTCTAAATATAATCGTAATGACATAATTAGCAACATTTATGATTGTTAGGATAATGATAATACTACCGATTGTAATAGTTACAATAATGATAATGATGATAATAAAGATCATAATATGGGTAGGCATAATTAATTATACCCATGATGATGGTAATATTATTATCATTTTTTTGAAGATATCATCCCATTATATTTGGAGATAAGAATAGTAATAATGATAATGACATTAGAATATTTTAGAAGGATAAGAATTAGTTATGCTGAAATACCATTATTATTATCCCATCAATAATACAGTTAAATATCATTATTATCATTAGTTATACCTGATTGTAATCACTATAATATGTTACTCACTATCATAGACAATTGTCAAGATAATTGTATAACTATTGGGATATTTTAATCCCATGTGATGGAAACAATTATTGATATTGATGACATAATCAAACCATTATGATTACCGTAGTCTAGTTACCATGTTTACTACTAATTAGTTATACCCATGATAACGGTTTAATAACTATAACTATAATAATGATATTATATAACAAGCTATGATATACCATTATCATAGTTATAATAATTAGTATAATGGTATACTAATAATAGTGTTATCTGGGGATATTATCCCATTATAATGAACATGATCATAATTAGTTATACCCGTGATAATTATAATAGTAACATTGTCATTAATAACTAATTGATACTAATAACTAATGTCATAACACTGATCATGATAATACGTGTTTACTAGTATGACATTAGTTATACCATTGTAATGAACATAATCCCCATGATCATGGTATAACAATTAAACAATGATTAAGATACATTGAGATACAATGGTGTGATAATCATCAGTTAACTCATTCTAGTCCACTTCAATAATAACTATAGTTTCTAACTATCTATAGATAACTATAGATTATGATTACTAATAATATATGGGATATATCTAACTTATAATAACTATAGTTTCTGACTATAGTTGGAGTGAAAACCCAACTCGGATGATAGAAAAACTACAGATGTCTAACCAATGATGGGATTGATCAACTAATGATGGGTTTTATTTTATTAACATCTAACGATAGTTACATATATATATATACATGTAATTGTAACCCAACTAGATTCTAGTTTTCTTTTACTAATATCTAATCCCAATAACTATACATGTCATCCCATACCTATCATGACTATCCTCAATATAATGGTATAACTGATATTACGGCAAGACCCTGAGGTTTGCCCGAACTTGCAACGAGCGTCCGGGCAAGCCAAGATGACGATGATGATGATGATGATGATGATGACGATGACGATGACGATGATGATGATTTTGATATCTTCTTGAAACCTATAAGAAACCCTAATGACTGTATGGTTAATTGTTCCATGGGGCCGGGGGATTTTGATATCTTCTTGCAACCTGTAAGAAACCCTAATGACTGTAGGGTTAATTCCATATGATATGTAGAAGCAACATGTTCTTGATATATGATATGTAGAAACAACATGTTCTGGCTAACATCCTAGCAACATAATTCAACATAAAATCCTTCCCGTTGTTTGCTGTCGCACAGAACTTCCTGGTATTTACGCTATTCCCGGCTTGGGCAAACCTCGGGGTCTGTGTGTAGTATTAGTCATTGGGGATAACAGTTCGGATATTATAAGTCATAATCATTAGATATTGGATATATAAATAATCACCACTATCGTTATGATATTATTAGTGACTATGATATCATTAGTGATTGTGATAATATATCATACCCATTGTTCGCTGTGGGATCATATTTGGGTTATTTGTAGTTGTAATCATTAGTCATTATTGGAAATAATATTAGTGTTCATTATAATGTTATGACTAGTGTTAGAGATAGTATGATGTTCATCACCATTATGATTGTTGTTGTTATTGGTATAATGACAATATTGGTAATTTTGGGATATTTATTAGTTATTGTGGGACATACTTACTAAGAATTGTTATGAGCAATCATTGGAAGCAAATATTATTAGCTTGTTGTGATATTATTAGGTATGATCATTAGTTATTGGAGCCTAACACAGATGTCCCTAGTATTTACATTGTATAGTTTTTGAACTATACACATATGTATATATATATATGTGTGTGTCTATATGTATATATATATATAACTATAAATCGGTTAATTCGTCTCAGCATTATCAGTATTATCATTACTATGGGATACACTTACTATAGTTTTTGGGAACACATCTCAGGAACATTGAAAACAAATTGGGAAATGTGCTGTGATTTTTGTTTGTGAAAAATAGTGTTGGGAAAAATGATTGGGGAACTTGTCGAACTGATGCATTTTATAGAGGGAACATTGATGGAAGAATGGAAAAACAAAAAGGAAATGCGTGGAAAAAATATGAAAAAATATCATAAAACTGTTGCAAGATTTGGAACATGGAAAATTTTGGAACAAATTTCCCCAGATTTGGAACATGGAAAATTTGGAACTTTTTGGAACATGCAAAATTCGTGGGAAATTTGGAACAAAAAGTGTGAAATGACGGTGTGGAATCCGCTAGATGGGTTGGAATCTGTCCAGGTTGGACTTTTTTTTTTCTGCCCAAACCTGGGACATCGATGGATTTCTTAAGATCTACATTAGGGGTGTGTCATGAGAATAGGATATATATATATATGTGTATATATATATGTATATATATGTATATATATATACATATATCAAATCCGATGGTTTCGATCATGCTGTGTCATGGTTCATCACCCCATGAACATTGTCATGAAAAAAACCCAAAGCTAGCGGAAGAGACAGGTTTGGAAGCTAGCACACTCACCCTCGAAATCTGCTAAACTGCTAACTAAACACGCAGCAAACCAGGAATCGCAAAATCTGGTGCGTTGGCATCTCCAAAAATTCTCATTGGAGATCCAAATTTTGCAACTTGTCATTGGATGAATGTTGGAAATTCCTCAAATGCTTGGGCATCACGTTCGCTACGTTCGCAGTCAGATCCAATGAATCTTGGGCAGTCAGATCCACCATGAAATCTTGGTTCATACCCCTATTCAATGGATTGGTTTAAGGGAAAATTTACAGGAAAACCCCATATTAAATGGGAAAATCTATGGTTTCCTGTAAATGTTCCCTTAAACCAATCCCTTGACCTATTTTTTTGGATGGTAAGAATGGTATCACTATGGATCAATCCTTTCGAGTTTTTGCAACTGGCTGACCTCCTCCTTCCACGTGCTTCCATCTAATGAAAAGATGTAGGCAGCGCCTGCGCAGGCATTGCGGAGCCCGAAACCCTCGCTAGGAATCATCTGAAATGAGTCTGTTGTATATGGCTTACATTCCAAACTATGTATAACATATATTATATATTATATTTCTGTATGTATTGTGTATATATATATATAATTATGTATATATATATGTCCCTATATATAGATATAGATATAGATATATATATATAATATATATCAATTCAAAGTGCACTGCAGACCACTTCCAATTCCGCGATTCCGCGCACCACTTCCTACGCCACCAGGACCAGTGTGCCAGTCCGCTCCAACCTCGCGTTGCCGGCCGGCCGGCGGGCGTTGCCGGTGGTTAAAAGGGCGAATTTTTTCGGGAAAAAAGGGCCAAAATCCCATGAAACTTATGAAAATGAGGGATTGATCCTTATAGAAATATGGCTTTACTAAGAAACATGAGGTTTGATGGTTGATTGATAGTTACTGGTTGGTGGCGCAATGTGCCCATCTTGAAAAATATGAGTTCGTCAATGGGGTTCGGATGACATCCCATATGTGATGGAAAATAAAACTCAGGTTTGAAACCACCAACCAGATAAACTTGGCGCCAACCCGTGCTTTTTTTTCCATGATTTCAAAACGGTTCGAGGCTCAGAATGGGCGCAAGAGTCTGTCTTTTCTTTATTTGGTCTTTATTTTTGACCCATTGACGACCCAACAAACCCCAATTGACACCCAACTGGCAGCGCCTGTGAGGGGTGATAGCCATTTTGAGACAACTCGATTTAAGTCGTAAAACACGCAGACCCACGCTCTGAACCCACCCAAAATCAGCCAAAATTCAAACATCTCCCATATTTGGGTGTCTGAAAATATGGTATACTCTCAAGTTGTGGCAGTTTGAATCAGGGAAAACAGTGATTAACCAATGATTTGGGGGATCCAATTCTACTAAAAAGTTAAGGGATCCAATTTAACCAATTCACAATTGAATTAGCCAGTGATTAATCAATCAAAGAAAGGGGAAACAGTATTTAAGCAGTATGATTCTCCAGTCAATGGCCATTTCAGGAGCCTAAATTGGAGGTACCTACCATATATATAACCTTTTTTAAGGCCTAAATTTCAGGGGCATAAAATGTGGCCAAACATATGGTACTAACGTACCTTCATCAATTGGATCCTGAAGATCTCCCATTGAGAAGTATGTTTCATGGATTTATGGGTTGTTTTAGGGTTTCACTATGGTTATAGGATTGGTTTTTTATGGGTTATTTCGGAAAATCCCCATGACAAGCCATGACAACCCTGGTTTTTACATACAATTCAATGGATTGGTTTATGGGAAAATTCACAGGAAAGCCCCATGATCTTCATGGGAAAATCACTCTGGTTTCCGGTTAAGATTTTCCCTTAAACCAATCCATTGAACAATATGATTGATGGATATGAATGACTATTGGATGACTAGCCCCGTTTTTAAGGGTTATTAACCATGAGTATTGACCATAGCTCATATGATCCTCCAGTTTTCGGAGTCCAAGGTACCACTGCATAGCTTTCGCTGATGCCCACGGAGACCCCGAACTTGTCCCCAGCCATGGTATCGTTCCCGATGAGCTTGGCCTGGATTCAGAAATCTTAACGGAGGAAACGGTGGTGGTTATAGAAATCCCAAGCAGTCTTTTTGGTAACCCCCAACAAAAAAGATATGAAAGGTTCAAGATATCCAAGTTATCACTATATTTGTAGGATGTGACTTTTCTTAATTAATCCTTTTGACACTTGCTATATATTGGATACTTGCCAACGTTTCCAACGCAGAAACCAACGAAACAACGTCAAAGTCGCTGTGCAATCGGCCTTCAAGATTCGGAGAGAACTCCCTTTTTTTACCAAACATCGATGGATTTCAAGGTGGTCGTTCGATGCTTTTCCCAACCTTTGTCCGTTCCCCCTTCGTCGCCAGACGGCGGCCTCTTGGTTCCAGGACCCGGCACTCTTTCTGAAGATGTACGCTGCCCCGGTGTCGGCCAGTCCACCGTCATCATGGCCATCAGCCCCAACGATGACGTAGTCGCCTGTCGTTTTGCGGACGAGGATCTGTGACCCTCTGGTAATTTCACTCACGTTGCTATGGAAAAATGAATGAAACTTGCTCCGAACATGCACCGTTTTCTGATTTTTGATGATCAAATGCCAAAAATGGGCACTTTCGAACGCTGTTTTCAGTGGTATCCGATACCGCTAAATGCCAAAAAATGGTGGCTCGGTACCTGGATTCCAGGATGGAACACCTCACTGGAAAAACCTGTGGGAAACCCAAATCCAGGAGTGAAACCTCTAAGTTTTCCCCATGCTGGGACACAGATGAAATCAGAATATCTCAGAACTCCATGTTGAATTGCAACTCCTCAAAAGATTCCCCATGAGTGGATGTACCAAGGGGAAAATCACCTCAAAAAATCTAAGCTTGTACTAGTGTCATTCTGAAAACCATGTCAAAACTCCTGCTGGAACTCCACCATTCCACTGCATGAATCCGAAAAACAACCCCTCTAAGCTTGGAGGCATTGACAGCTTTCCACGAACAAAGACCTGGTGTTCATGCAAGTGGGGCCCCCGTTTACGATAGCTAAGTTGGTGAACATAACTCCAATGTCACTATGGTTTATGGTACTTATAACGAACTAGTTATTGGGGCTTTTGTTAACCAACTTATAACGTTTGGGGCCCCACATTGTGATGTTATGTTTAGCAAAAAAAATGCGCTCATGGTCGAAGAAATTTCTTTGAAACAATCTTGCTCGCTTTGATCATGAACCAAATCTCTAGGTTTCATCGGCAGCCAAATTGATCATTGATGACAACACCATTCGAATCCCAAACACCTAACAGTTAGCCTAACAGAATCCCATTCTAACCTCACTTTCCATCGCTTCGCCCCTATTTTTTATCGTGATAATCCTATTTCATCCTATTGTCCTTCTGAAAATAGATCAACATGCTGGGTTTTACCATCCATCACTGATGTTGGCTGCATTGCAAAAATTCAGCAACCTGAAATATCCATGGTTTCTGGTTCTTGGTACAGCTTCCCCAATGAAAATATCATGCATGGCTTATTTTCCCATCAAACCCGCATCTGCAATTCCGTGATTTCAATCAAAATGCATCAACATAGCTGTTCCCACACTACCAATTTTTGGATTTTGCGAAAGGACTGAGAAATAGCCCATCATCGCAACAATAGAAGTCAAGGACAATTGTTGCTTAAATCACAGATCACAGCAAAATCATCAGCAAAATCAGAACTCTTGGGGTTGCATCCCGAATCGGGTCGATGAATAACCATCGCTACCTGATGTTTTTATGGATCATCGCGAAAAAAGAAATGAGCTACTTCCATCACTTCTATCCAAGTATCCCATCCAATGTCCCATGAAATCCCTATTGTTGCATAGATAAATCACTCTAAGATCACCATTACATCTAAGTAAACCCTGTTAAATCAGCATAGAATCACCATTAAGGTGCTTAAATCACCACAAAGTCACTATTAAGTTGGTGACATCAGCGTAAAATCACCATTTAATCACCCCGTCATCCCATCAACAATAGACTTTTGTTGGTTAAATCACCATAAATCCCCACAAATCCCCAGAAAATCACCTTTATTCATGGATAAATCACCATAAATCACCTATGCAAATCACCATTTCTAGAATTCATTCGAGTTGCTGAGAGTCACCATCCAAGTCACCATCATCATGGTACATCACTATCATCACTGGGAAATACCATTGATAATCACCCTAAAACCACCATGAAATCATCATGAAATCGCCAAAAAACACCCATGAACATCACCATTTCTAATAGTTTCTTGTTTCAAATCACCATCAAAGTCATCATTAAATCACCATTAAATCACCATTAAATCACCCATGAAAATCACCATCAAAGTCATCATGAAATCGCTAAAAAATCCCATTGGCAAATCACCCATCAAAGTGACCCATTTCTAGAATTCATTCGTTTTGCTGAGAGTCACCATCGAAGTCACCATCATGGTAAATCACCATTAAATCACCCATGAAAATCACCATCAAATCACCCATCAAAGTGACCCGAAAATCACTGGGAAAATCCCACGCCCGGCACCTGCCACCTTCACGGCGTTGCCGAAGCGATCTCCTGCCGCGATGTCCGAGGAGACGAGGCGCGCGTCCAAGGTCCAGACGTTGCTGGACCTGGCGGAAACCGGGGGATGGTGGAAACCTGGCGGAAAAACCGGGTGCAAAACGTGGTGAAAATCTTGTGGAAAATGGTGAACAATTGAGAAAAAGTGTGAAAATCCCAGGGAAAATGGTGAAAACTGGTGAAAATGTGGTGAAAAAACTTGTGAAAACTGGTGAACATGTGGGAAACATGTGGGAAAAAACAAAGTTGGACAATAGAAAAAAAATGTGAAAGATGTTGAAAAATGGAGAAAACTGGTTTTCAGACCTGTAAGAAATGGGCCTTTCAGCAGATTTTTTTTTGGGAAACCTAATGAAGATTGAATCATGAGAGATATGTTTCACCATGGCATGGTTGGCATCTTTGCCAATTTGGCAATAAAAACATTGGGAATTCACAAAAAAAAAACTCCTAAGTTTGGGAATTCACCATTGGCAAATTGGATTTGATCACACCTTAGGAGTTTCACCAAACTCGCCGAGTGAACAGAAGGTAGACATATGCAGCACCCGCATCATCCCCATTGGCATCTTCCCCCGGTGCGCCAACGATCAGCACTTCGCCTCGGAGAACGGCGGCAACGGCTTTTTCTTTGTTCTTTTTGGAAGTTCCAAGAAATTGAGAAAACGATAAAGCCTGGTGATTTCATCATATCTAAATGGTCTAAATGACACACCTGTTTGATTAAATCACCATTAAGAAAATGTACAGCCTGGATGAATAGACTGAATAGACCCTACTTTGTTGATGAAGGTGGGTCACCCCAAAGAGTCCGAATCTGCTGGCGTTTTTTTTAATTCTCAATAAAACAGCATAAATTAAAAGGCCCAAGGGTTCTTAACAGTTAACACGAGGTTGAAACAATATCCGCAATGGGGTGAAAGTTCTTTTGTGTAATCTACAAGTGTTATTTAAGTGATAAACGTCTAATTCTTTATCTACAATAAAACTTCTTCACAAATAATCAGTTTTAGTCCTTGTTTTATCTGTTTAACAAATAACTCACCATCATAAATTTAGAGAATCAACAAACTCAACACTAACCATCATAAAAACTAGAAATCAACTCCAAACTCAACAAAATCAACACAAGGCTTGGTGTCTTAAATCAATGGGATTGGTAAAAAAAAATATTGGGTTTTCCTGTAAATTATCTCTTAAACCAATCCATTGATATACGCACTTATACCTCCAATTTCACTATGGTTAAAATGATACTTATATGGATGGTATTAAGTATAATTGAATGGGGATAGTTATACTCATTGGAATATGGTATCATAAACCAGAGTGAAATACCTTATCATAAATACCATTGATAATAACTATACTATAGCTAATTGGATGGTATAATATGGTATGCTAAGTATATATAGTTAAGTTGGTTTATACCTCCAATTTAGCTATGCTCTTTGACTCCAATAACTATGAATTGTGATACGCAAATAACTAAGTAGTACAACCAAGAGAACGGAGACGTTTTAATATGGATGGCATTAACTATAATTGGATGGTATACCATATTATTATATAACTATAATTAGTACCATAATCATTGAATCATGGGAACTATTCTTGGTTAGTAATAACTATAGTTGGCAACTAATATGGTACATAATATGGTATATAATTACAATGTCACTATGGTTTATGGTACTAAATAATTACTATTATAATTACATAATATGGTACATAATATGGTATATAATTATATAATTACTAATATATAATTACATTGTAGTAATAACCATAGCTATTAACTATAAAAACGGCAACTCATCCGAGAGACCGGAGATGCTCACGACCTTCCCAAAGTCATCGTCTTTGACGTTGCCTTCGAAAAGCTCTGCGGCCTGAAAAATCTGTCGGAATCGGCGTCGGCGTCGGTCAACGTTGGCGATAAAATGATCTACCCATTGATTAACCATTGATTAACCATTTGGGGAATCTATAGTGAGTCTATAGGGAATTATAGGGAATTATAGGGAATCTATTGGGGATATATCTATACTTACCCTCTGGTTACGACTAACATAGCTATTGAAAATGGCCATAGAAATAGTGGATTTACCCATTGAAAATGGTGGATCGTTCCAAAGTTATGTTAGTTTACCAGAGGGTATTTTTTTTGTTTGGTTTTCCACATAGAAATTCGTTGACTGGACGATTTAAGCATGAAACAATGGTGAAATGATGGTGACATTTCATGGGAAAGACTGGAAGATGAGTGGGAAAAAAGACATTGATGAAATATTGGTTGCTACCGGTGGAAATCCTTCAGCAATTTTGAGCTGAAAGTGAAGACCCTAGGATGTCGCCAAAAAAAACTTTGGAGAAGGGCCATGGGTCTTAGCCACCAAAAAGAATGTCATTTTGAGAATCAAATTGAACCATTGAACCATCCAATTTTGGTGATCACTTTCTTGAACCAAAGTTATCCCAAAAAATCTGTCGGTGCAAAACCCCCTGCCTCCAAGGACATTTGGTATCCTGTCGCAATACGCAGGAGCGAAAGCAGCGCGAGCCGCTTCCGCACCATAATTTGGCCTCAGCGATCAAAATGATGCGATTTATAGATAGAGTTTTGCAACCAAGAGATCAAAATCTCACCAACCAAAATGAGATTTACCCTCTGGTAAACTTTCACATAACTATGGAAAGATCCACCATTTTTAATGGGTAAATCCACGAACTAAATCACCATTTTCAATAGTTTTTTGTTAAATTACCAGAGGGTAACCAATCTCAGTTCAGTTCTACATCCAGCATGGGGCAGTCAAATGTGTCGCCGGAGAAACGTTCCTCACAACATTGGGGATATCTGAAACTTCAAAGCCATGCTCTAAATCCCCAGGGACATCTACCAACCCCTGTTGTATGTGGTAAATGGCTGATCATCAGAGAAAAAAACATGATTTTTAGGACAAACCACAATAGTCATTCCCCAATCCGACCCCAAGTACCCCAAGTTTTTTGCCATTGACGATCCTGCCACCGCTGGGATGGGTTAGAACTTTGGTATCATAAGAATGATCCAAAACAACACATTTGTGGTATAATTTTGTGGATCATTTACCTTGTGATAGTAGTAGTAAATTTGGTTTATTTAAGTGATACCATAATTTAGAATAAGAAAACCCAATTTTGGGGTGGTCCCTTTATTTACAGTCTTTTGGAACCACCTGAAGGCCCGGTTCCATCATTGTTTCGGAAAAAACCCCGCGGCGCCAAGGCGCAAAACGTATCGGATCACCTACTTGTGGGCGACCAGGACCTTTCTTGGGAGCCTCTTTTGAGGTACTGAGCCGCGTAGCCGATGATTGGAATCAAATGTTTTGAACATGTTTGCAACCAAAAAAAAATGAGTTTTTTTTTGATTTGGTGTTTAAAATGAGAAGTCCCAAAACAAATAAAGATTACAACAAATGTCAACTCTGGATCAATAAACCTTAGTTTGTTAATTGTTAATTAAGGTGATTCCACCCAAATAGTCATAAGCCGCATTTAAACGACGTTCCCTCAACTGAACAACCCAAGGGTTGCTTATCTGGGAATGCCATTATGTTTGTTGATTTGTTGGATACGTTCCAAAATGTTTGTGCCCGAAATCATAGGTTTCCCTGTCCTCCCATTTCAAAAATTCGCATATTTCAATGGTTCGCAGGTGCAGGAAACTACTGAATGTTGGGTTTGGTTTGAACGAAAGCAACATTGTGACGGATTGCAAAAGCATCGTGTGCAAAGATTACTTGCGATGTTGAAGCAACATGTTCAAACAAACCGTCGCGCAAGCAAATCTCGCACTGCAACTTACAAATAAAAATTGTCGAGTTGACAAATACAAACACACTCCAAAATTGTTTCTCCTTTGAATTCAAAATTAATGTCAAACAACAAGATCATCCACCTTGCAATTGAGAACACCATTCGTAGGTATGTACATAGCGTTTCCGTCATTGTTGTAACTAAGACAACGAACTCTTTGCATTGTTGGCCGTCGGTTGGATTCTGTCTCACAGCATATGTTGATAGCGCCGCCTTGCCCCTTTGCTTGGAAATATGTTCTATGGTAGCGGAACACTAGTAATCCAGTGTCCACGTTCTTTGGCAACACCAATTCGCTGGATGCAGCTTGGTGAATTCGACCTTGACCTACTTCAATTTTCTGCCTGATGTTCTGAGTTTCATACCTGGCACCTGTTCATCGAACGTTGATCACTGCGCTTGGTGGAGGAACTCGTTTGCGGTTGGCAAACTCAATTTGTTGAAGCGATTTGTGCAACATACTGCCGTGAAACTGGTTGCATTGCATGATTTCTGGGTTGGTGATTTAGAGTGAAATTGCCGAGATGGCTACAGTTGCCCCGGAATAGATGGGCCATGGGTTGTGTTTTTCATGAACAAGATGCATGAATGCTTTCGCATCACATCCTAAACGCTGCAACTTGAAACATGCGCGTAAATTTGCGTCACTACACCTGTTATGCATCAAAATAATACAATCACCAAAAACTGTTCATGGGTCCACCATGAGCGCATCTTTTGTGAGCACCTTGAATGTTTATGCACCGTACCTTAGATGTCACAGCCAGAAATATGCATGTAACGTTTGTGTGCATCAAAAATATAACGAGAAAAAGGTTACATGGTTGTATCATGGTTTTGTTTGTGGTGAGCGCCTTGAATGTTTACGCATCACACCAGAAATGCTGCATGGAAAAACATTCCCAACAACTGGTGGTATGCAAAAATGATACAAATAGAGCCCGGACAAGCCGGGTGACGGAAATTTAGGAAGGGGAAAAGGCTATAAAGAAAAGGGAAAACCTATAAGAACCCCGCCTGGCGGCCTGGCTGGCACGGCCGTTGACTGCGTCAGATTTTGAAACGTTTTTTCTTTGACATTTTTTGCTCTTGACATCCTTCTCTGATGATGCCACTTTCTCTTGATCCGGTTTGCGTTTGTTATCTCTAAATCTCGACAGTCCTTCTTGTTGACAACTCTGACGCCCGAGACTTGACACCCTTCGCAGCTGACAATGTTTTTCTCGTGTCATCGTTGTTTCTTGAAACCGATGTCTTTTCAGCTACCTTAAGTTGACGTTTTTTTTCTTGCCATCCTTATCTTTTGGCACCTCTATTCTATTTCACACACTCTGATGATCCCAAAGCAGCTGACATATTCCATGATTCACAAACTCAAGCACTCGGCACTCGCGCTTTCTTTTTGACTCAGGGGGATTAGCTGTCTTGTTCAACGGCATCGCGCTCGAACGGATGGGATAGGCACCGGTCAAACGGTGTTTTGGCCCTAGTCTGCGTCCAAGTTTGGCAGATGGCCCACTTGCTCTAACGAATGTTGCAGCTGAATTTGGAGAATGGTCAAAAGTTGAAAGTCCATTCTCTGCAACTCTGGGTTGATACGATCCAACAAGGCATTGGCCATGGAAATCCATTCACTGGCTGCCGGCATGAAAACGGGAACTTCTTGGTTGAGATGGATCAAGTGCTGCTTACATTGTTGGAGTTTGGCGCGAAATCGAAAGGACACAAGGTTCTGGTAGGGTTCAAGCAACGTTTGGAAGGACGGTTCGGTGAAGGACATTGCTAAAGAGCGCGAGGCACTTGCCTATTGAAGCATGAAATTGAAGCAGAAATGTTTATCATAAACATTCTGGTTAAAATTGTAACGTCGGAAAGCATAGGTGGAGACACAATGATCGATGGTGATTGTACATGTAACTTGAACATTATACCAAGTATGAAATGTCATGGTTATTGTCACTTGACAAAAGGTCACTTGACCTTGGTGTGCTTGAAAGAAAAGGTCATGTGACCGTAAGGGTGGCACATTGAAAATGGGTTGGGACGAAAAGAAGTACGTGGGGTATGATCTCACTTGAGATGACTGCCACGTACATCCAAGAATCATCCACTCAAGATAAACCCTAACATGTGAATCAACATGTATGCAAACTGGTACAACTGCTTTGGACGTGCATGTTTGACAACAAGACACTTCTCATCCCGTTATGAAATAATACTGTATCAAACAAGTTTGAGTTCCGTCTTATTTCACACACTCTGATGATCCCAAAGCAGCTGACATATTCCATGATTCACAAACTCAAGCACTCGGCACTCGCGCTTTCTTTTTGACTCAGGGGGATTAGCTGTCTTGCTCAACGGCATCGCGCTCTCCCCTGGCATGGAGGCTCGGGGAGCAACTTTCTGACTCGCACTTTCTCCATACTTCCATCAAACATACTTTGGAGCACGGGACACCTCTGTAGCTGTGGCACACCTCTCTGGACAACAGGTCGGCTGGATTGGAATAGCTTGGAACTCTGTCAATCCAAGCTAAGGTACAGAGGTCTTCTTCAAACGTGCAAATGCTACGAATGATCAGATCCAGGCTATTGTTGGCCGACTTGCATTTAACCAGGGAGGCTTGAACACTTTGATTATCTGTGAATATCACCAAACGGGTCCCCCTCACTTTTTCTCGGAAAACACCCAGCGCAGCTGCAACTGCCAACCCTTCCAACTCCAAGATGGTAGTTTGCTGCTCGGGCTTCATCAAAGACTGCAACAACGTAGTGTCAACACGTTCACTGAAGCAACCTGCGCACGTTCCCGAAGAATCGAAAAGTACACCACCTATTCCTGAGAAAACCTCCGGATCAAAAGATGCATCCACGAAAAGATACGACCATTGCACATGAGCCACGCTCACAGATCTCGGCGAATTCAGAGCTAGGAGGTGGCACATAAGTCTTAAAGACGCTGCAAGTTCTGCGGAAACAGTCTTCATCGCTGGGGCAACATGGAAGTTTAATTCTCTGAGGCAGTTTCTGAAACGTCTTCCGAACAATTGATTTTAAGCGAACTGGAGACGCCCCCTCAGGCGCTCGCCTTCCACTCGGCTGAGCGAATTGGTCTCTAACGCCTGCATCATTGACTCCCTGAATTCCAGGACTCGGGATTCGGTGTTCCTGACTTCAAAACAGCCTGCGGGGTCTTTGTGAGAGTGAGCTCTACACCCAAAACCTTGCAACACTCAGAGTACGGGACTAGCTTATCATTCGACAGCTCCCAACCCAACAAATGGAAGAAAGTGGATATGCACATTTCGGTGTGGCGCTCCAGTCCAGCTGTCGTTAGGCTGAGGAAATCGTCGAAGTACGATGTCCAATATAAGCTTCAACATCCGACTTCCAACGTGCCAAATCGCAACTGCGCACCGGAGGAATGCGGTCACAGAAGCTATGGAACCAAACGGAAGAACGGCCTGCTGATATACCTCAGGCTTGCAAGTAACTGGATTGCACACTACAATGTAAGAATCCAAATGATAAGCATCATCTGAGAGGGGGATCTGCTTCTAGGCTGAGGCCAGGTCCCAACACTTGGCAAGCAATGCCACGGTACGTTCTCTCTCTCTCATCTCTTTCATCATTTGGGCCCCTATGCAAGCTATGTGATGCACACCGTGCAAAGTTGCAACTTCAACCTGAGTAACTGAAGAATTAACAAGGC